AAGGGGACGGCGAAATTTTAATCCCGGCAAATGAAAAACGGAATTTGGGCATCTATGAGCAAATCCATTTCGGATTTAACCAGTTACCTGCGTTCGACGAGTGTACGCGTTATCTCAAAACGCAAAATGGCACGAATTTATTCAACGGTGAATTATTTATTCAGATGAACATGTAATTCTCCTTCGTTTCATTTTAGTTTATCGTTAGAATATATTACAAGTGCATTTGTCCTGCCTTTGATGAGTATACACTTTATAATCCCTTTGTAATCTCTTGCACTATGATTTCTTTCGCAACTGCACATTATTGTTTATAATTCAGTAGAAAAAGTAAAAAATTCTACTTTTATTCTACGTCTACGTTTACTCTGAAGCATTACAATTGATAATAGAAAAATAATATTCAATCCGGACTTGACAGAATTAAGTGACATATATATTTGTTAAATTCTAGTTGAAATCGTTGCCACGAATCTCACGCGATATTGTAGGACAAGGGGTTAATAAAATAGACATCGAACGATCATCAGCATTTTAATCCGTAACAACGCAATATGTTTTTGTATTGTAACCAACGTATAGTGAATTGTTAACGCTTAACCATTCGCAGACAAGGATGTTTCGAAATATTCAAAACCTTCAGCAGAGGAAGCTGAATTGTTTGTTTGCAATTTTGTGTTTTATATATGAAAGTTTGATGTCGCCAAAATGATCATCTCAAAGGATTCACTGCTAACTAATCATATGATCAAAGTATCACTGTAGATGAACCTTACGTCCCTTCGTATCGTAGCTTTTTAATCGATATCTTGTGTTACATACTGAACGCAACACGAGAAATTAATTAAGGATTAAATAGTTGTACGTAATCTTGCAGTGGAATGTAGGGAAATTGTTAAATGATATTGCGGAACTGGTTCGTTGAAATAAAAATCAGTTTGAAGTTTCTCTGTCCGATCGAACGTTTTTTCCAGGTTTCGAATAAAAGGAAACGTTCCTATAGGTTCGTTCAACTTTGCCTTGCGCCGAGTTCTAAACAGTAGGCGTATATCGTATACGTATCGAGTGTCGCGGTTTAGTTGTCGCAGCTTAATTTTCTGATCGATATAACCAGAAATTTGATATTCGTTAATTATCGTCAGGGCTCGCAACGACGTCGTTAAATCTCCATTGAGATAGAAACGTATCACCGGTATCGATTTGCGTATTCGTAATCGATATACGTTTCTCGAATCTCAGTTTCCCGGATCGGTGTAATCTTGGAGTTACATTGTTTATTTCCTCGCAATTAATACATTATTGTCGTTCCCGATTCGATCGATTCGAGAAGCGTAGCCCGTTCTTAATACGTTTAACCCCAAGCAACACAGTAACGCCCAAGGGACACATTTTCAAATTGCTTATCGTACAAGAATGAATCTATGTAAACATTTTATTTCTATATTATTTTATCTAGTATACCCTCCTTGCTTCAGCTTTTAAATTATCTTAGCAGTATTTTCCAATAGAAAATCCTTTCGTTTTACTTTAACCTTTAAGTACTACAGTCTCTAAGACCTTCGAAAAATTGCAAATCAGTACTAAAACTTTCAATGTTTGAAGATTACAGCGCAATCGAAGTGTACATAGTGTTTCAACGTTGTAAGCTGTGCGCGACAAAGAAACCGGATAAATAAAGATTTTAAACGCTCTGAGAAACCAGCTGCAACACTTGTTCCTTTGAAGGAAAGTGTCGGAATATGGAGACATCAAACTTTCATATCCGACATACGAAGTTACCAACCTACAATCATTCAAATAACAGAAAATCGATGCCCAGTTCTCTTTCTTTAGTATTTAGAAGTTCGATATATAATTCAACTTTCCCTGCTTTTAAACTATTTCAACTCTAACTTTATATCAATCCCTATATTGCTTAATTACTCTTGTCTAGTTTCTCAATTTTTGTCTTTCCTTTTGTTTCTATTTCCATTCGAACAAAATGCATCGTCTAACTAGGTTACCATTATTTCATAGATAGTTCTTTGACCGGTTAAAGTTGAAAAAGTGTAGGTACGGTTAGTATTAAAACATTCTCGACCGCGAAGGGTTAAAGGTCCGCTACGTTGTCTACGGAGCTGCGTGTATTTACGTGGCCGATCAATTCCTTGAAAGCAATCGTCCCAGTGAACTGGGGCCCCGATTCTTCGAGTTTCACAACACTTCCCATTCACCTGCGCTCCACAAAGATACGGTACGTAGGCGCTGCAACACCATGTACACAACGTACCACGCCGATAGGTTACGCCTTTGTTCGCCCATTCGTGTGCACGCCGGCTCTCGATCACTCGTGTGCGTCGGGTACCTCGAGTTCCATTTATTATGTAGTCTACAACTTTTATGCATTCATCTCGTACACGAGTAAATAATGGTTACGGGAAGGACCGTGCAGTATCAGGAATAAATATTCCGAGAAAAATGTTTCTCGCGGTTTATCTCCGCTCCGCTATTTCGGTGCCATTATTTATTTTCTGGCTAGATCTGCGAGTGTTATTTCGATGTTAATTCCACGCGATGGAAAACGACATTATATCGTTATCGTTGGTATATATTATTGCGGAACATTTCTACTAAAAACTTTGCGCTAACTTTAGTACCAAAAATGTAAATTTTGTTCGGCCGATAGTGTGGAATATTTATGTTTCAGCACGGCAATGTGATGTATTTGTCGCCTGTTTTACTCGACGTTATATAACAACGGGTTAAGTACAAACATTTTCATTTCTCACTTTGATTTATAATGTAGAGTAAATAAATTCGAGAAATTTGCATAACAGAAACGAGTTGCTGGACTATTTTTTAGGGCTGAGATTATAATATATCGTTAGTCGTGATTCTTTACAGTGCGAATGGATGGCAAACAACGAATTAAGGTAAATGGGAAATAATTGTCAACAGTTCGACCGACGTAGAAACCTGACTTACTATAATGGAGCTTTCATGTAAAAGTAAGTGTACACATATACACCGGCACTTTCGAAAAGGTTAATTTCTCAGCGATGACAATTACTCCTATTAAGTTGCACTCGAAAGGTGACTCACTCGCCACCTGATTTCATACAGTAGAATTATAAAATTTGATATTTAATATTATACCTTTTATAACTCATTAATTTAAGAAATACTGAAATAAAATAGCTTTGTTCCTCAATGTACGTATAATTTCGAATTAGTTTCACAAAATATCGTCTTTATCTCACGAGAAAATGTTAAAATATTTCTAGTGAAAAACTTTCGAGTGCAAAGGGTTAACCATTTGCGGACGAAGATTCTTCGAAATACACAAAACCTTCAAAATATGCAGCTTCACTACACATCAATTGCTTAAATAATAGAAAAAAAGGAAACCACGTTCTGATCTGTCGCTGTTCGACTAATTAAACCAATTGTTCGCGAATTAGCCTTCCAAATACGAACATTTCATCTTACCGAAATGCCGACACCGTCCGCAGAGGGTTAAACCTGACGTGTACACCAACACACCCCCAAAAGCATATACTCTAAAAGACAATCAAACGGGAATCACAGAAAAACCCAAACGGAGCCAGAGATCGCGTCGACGGAGTAATCAAAAATGTCCACCTTCAGGGGGTTCGAATGACAGCTGAAAGTCCGCAGCGGCTCGTACCACACACTCGTAAACATAATCCAATTTACAGCACCGTGACGAAACGGAATGACGAAATGTTCCATCGAGAGGGAATAATAGAATCCGGATGAAAAAGTTTCGAACAAGTTAAACGGGGAAAGGAAAACAATTTCCTCGATCGACCGTGAATTGACGAATTAACCCGTCTGTCACAGTGAACAGGTTAAACGACGAAAAGCTGCTGGCCCGTTGACGAGACGGGGGCTTGTCACGGAGAAACTGTGCGGAAAACGCGTAGCCGGAAATCAATGGAGCCGCTCGAACGCGTCCGCAGGAACGGCGGTGCGTGTGCGAAGAGGAAAAATAATCGGGGACAGGCTCTCTCGACACGGCGAGTACAACTTACCTAACCTTGCAGTAGGACCGCTCTTGGTTCGCTGGCCAGTTCCGCGTAGCCCCGTGCCCGACGAAACTTTTCCATGTAGCCGTCGCGCGGCGATTGATTCGATCCGCGGCCGCCGATTCACCC